CGACTGAGCCACCCAGGCGCCCTGGAATTTTTTTTTTTAAGATTTTATTTATTTTTTTGACAGAGAGAGTGAGAGAGCACAAGCAGGGGGAACGATAGAGGGAGAGGGAGAAGCAGGCTCCCCGCTGAGCAGGGAGCCCGATGCGGGCTTGATCCCAGGACCCCGAGATCATGACCTGAGCCGAAGGCAGACGCTTAACCATCTGAGCCACCCAGGCGCCCCCCCAAATGGAATTTCATCCTGAAATGATACCCTGCAGAGCGAGGACCAACTACAGAAATACTTTAGTATTCATTATGTGTCAACTACATGCAAATTTAAAAAAGCCCAAACTGGGGCACCTGGCTGGCTCAGCTGGTGGAGCATGAGACTCCTAATCTTGGGGTCATGCGTTTGAGCCCCATGTTGGAGGGGTAGATTGTACTTAAAATAAAATTTAAAAATCTTAAAAAAAAATCCACCCAAAATACTTTAGTATTAAGGTACCTCTGCAACCTGAAACATTTTTCCTGCCTTTGACCATTGCTCTATGTAGATACAGACACTGTGTACCACATTCCATCCTAGCATGTTGTTCTTACCCTCTTACTACAAAGATGTACTGAGAATGTCTTTCTGGACTGAATTACTCTTGTGAAAGAGTGGAAACATGTTGTATTAATTAGAATAATTGCTATAACAGATAGATCCAAATAAGGAAAATGGCTCAAATACAAATCTTCCTTTCTTTCTGAAGATTTTTATATATTTTTTAAAAGACTTTATTTATTTGGGGCGCCTGGGTGGCTCAGTTGGTTAAGCGACTGCCTTCGGCTCAGGTCATGATCCTGGAGTCCTGGGATCAAGCCCGCATCGGGCTCCCTGCTCAGCAGGGAGTCTGCTTCTCCCTCTGACCCTCTTCCCTCTTGTGCTCTCTATCTCTCATTCTCTCTCTCTCAAATAAATAAATAAAATCTTTAAAAAAAAAAAGACTTTATTTATTTATTTATTCATTTAACAAAGAATGAGAGAGGGGGCGAGTGAGCACAAGCAGGGGAAGTGGCAGAGGAAGAGGGAGAAGCAGGCTCCCCGCTGAGCAGGGAGCCCAGACACGGGGCTCCAACCTAGGACCCTGACACGGAGCTCCATCCTAGGACCCTGGGATCATGACCTGAGCCGAAGACAGATGCTTAGCCGACTGAGCAACCCAGGTGCCCCTAAAGATTTTTTATTTTTAAGTAAACTCTACACTCTATGTGGGGCTCGAACCACAACCCTGAGATCATCAAAAGTCACATGCTCTACCAACTGAGCCAGCTAGATGCCCTCAATTGTTTATTTCTTGCTTCTTAGCCAGAACAGCCCACCTCCATGCAGGAGGTAGGACCTAAATTAAGGAAGGCCCACAAAAGGCATGGAGGAGCACATGTGGGAAGTTTTTGTGGGCGTAGAAGTAGGGTATGTCCCTCAAAATGGGCTGTATGGACTGGTATCAGTTTGGTGCAGTTACTGGGTGTGACAAGATAAGTACAGAAATGGAAACTAAGCCTTTAGAAAGTTGTATAACTGTGTTGCTGCAGTTTTATGTCTGCTGAATTTAATTTAAATGTCTTTGTGTTAAAATTTCATTTTTTCCAGTAACTCATTTGTAGTGTATTTTACAAAAGTTTTGGTCCACAATGAATGAGAAGGAAAAGAAAAAAACAACAAAAAACGTGATCTAGAAGCAAGAGTGTACATTACTTCCCTTCATATCTTCAGCTAGAACTTAGTCTCCTGTTCATGTCTAACCATAGTGGAGGTTAGAAATGTGGTCTAGGGGCGCCTGGGTGGCTCAGCCGTTAAGCATCTGCCTTGGGCTCAGGTCATGATCACAGGGTCCTGGGATCAAGCCCCGTATCGGGCTCCCTGCTCGGTGGGAAGCCTGCTTCTCTCCCTCTCCCCCTGCTTGTGTTCCCTCTCTCGCTGTCTCTCTCTGTCAAAATAAATAAATAAAATCTTAAAAAGAAAGAAAGAAAGAAATGTGGTCTAGCTGTTTGCAAAGAGAAAAGGGGAAAACAGAGATGTTGGTGAGTACTTAGAAGTCTCTGGCACACTTAGCTTGCACACCCAGAAACACAGCCTAAAGTGTGAAATAGAAGAGAGAGAATGAAGTCCTCTGGGTGAGGCTGAGCAATGGGAGGTATATTTCCTACTTTTGTCCATTGTCAGCCATTGTAATTACTTACAATCCAGAAGGGTTTGGCTGTGAAGGCCAGAAGGGGAAATGTTTTCTCTACTTACTGTGCTCATTTCTCTCACACTCTAACTTTTCTTTCCATTCTCCCAACCATGCCTTAGTTCATCATTTCTTAAACTACCAAAATAGCCTCCTGACATTAGTCCCTACCTCTAGCCACACATCTCTCATCCCCATGTGAACTTCGCCATGTTACTCTTCCATGATTCCTATCACTTACAGGCTTGAGTTAGACTTTTTTTTTCTTTAAATTTTTTATTGTTGTGTTAATCACCATACATTACATCATTAGTTTTTGATGTAGTGTTCCATGATTCATTGTTTGTGCATAACACCCAGTGCTCCACGCAGAACGTGCCCTCTTTAATACCCATCACCAGGCTAACCCATCCCCCACCCCCCTCCCCTCTAGAACCCTCAGTTTGTTTTTCAGAGTCCATCATCTCTCATGGTTCATCTCCCCCTCCAATTTACTCCCCTTCATTCTTCCCCTCCTGCTATCTCCTTTTGGGTTAGACTTTTTGTCATAAAAATCCCATAAGGTCATTCACATTCCAGTCCCTTCCTACAGGTTAGGCCTTATCTCATGGACAGATGGATTAATGAAATCCTGCCTTTTGCTCTTGTGTGACTCATTGAGACTTCCCGAAGGAACCAATATCCATCTCGCCCTCTTGTGGCCACAAGACCTGAGCTTTGGTAAGGAGTGAGGAGGAAGCCAGAAGGGAGGGCTAAAGTCAGCAGAGGGCTTTGCTTAGCCCATCTATGGGAGAAAAATGGGGTATTCAAGGAAAAGGAAGGAGAAGTTAGCAAGTTCAAGGGAACTATACTTAGCTCAATTCCTAAGTCCCAAGTCCATTTCCAGACCTAGGTGTGTCAGCATCCCATAAAAATGATGTCCAGAAACTTCCAGGAAGTTGATAAGACTTTCTTTCCTTTTTTTTTAAATTATTTTATTTATTTATTTGACAGACAGAGAGAGAGCGCACACAAGCAAGGGGAGATGCAGGCAGAGGGAGAGGGAGAAGCAGGCTCCCTGCCGAACAGAGAGTCTGATGCAGGCTCCATCCCAGGGCCCCAGGATCATGACCCGAGCTGAAGGCAGATGCCCAACCATCTGAGCCACCCAGGCGCCCCAATAAGACTTTCTTAAGTATGATAAGGGCCTCTCAAGAGAAGAAATGGAAGACATATTCCCCTTCCTCAGGGAAATTGCTATATAATACATCCATTGGAGTAATCAGCAGGCAGAATTGCATATGGTTAAGAGCATGACTCTAGAGTCAGGCTGTCTGGGTGTGAATGCTGCCTCTGCTACTTACTGTGTGACCTTGGGTAACTTATCTAACTTCTCTGTGCTTCAGTTCCTACACTTTAAGTAGGAGTGATAATGCTACCTACCTCATAAGATCATCATGAAGATTAAATGAGATAATATTTGTAAAGTAATTAGGATAGTATCAGGCATATAATAAGTACTTCAGTGCTTTTAAAATAAATAAACACATATAATTAGAGATTTCTAGATAACATAAAACAACACTCATTGTGTGGCTTAGTTCCGCAATAATTCAGAAATTGGGGGTGCCTGTGTGGCTCAATTGGTTAAGTAACTCAATCTCAGCTCAGGTCTTGATCTCAGGGTTGTGAATTCAAGCCCTGCATTGGGCTCCATCCTGGGTGTGGAATCTACTTAAAAACAAAATAAAACAAGAACAAAAACAGAAATGGGAAAAATTACAGGGAAAAAGAAATTAAGAAGGGTTTCAATAAGGTAGTGAAACCAAAGAGTGAGCAGATTTGGGAAGACAGAGGTGTGGCCGGATCCAGGTGAAGGCATGGAGGTAGAAACTGACATGGTATGGGGGCAGGTGGTGGAGAATGAGAAGAGATGGCAGGTGTAGAATTGCAATTGGGGAACAGAGAGAGCTAAGGTTGACACCTGATTGCATAGGACTCTGAAAGACTCTGTAGGAGGCAATGGAGAATTGTTGACATTTTTCAGAGGGAAATGACATGATGGAAATGGTGTTTTGGGAAGATTCATCTGGCAGTGGTTTTCTGGAAAGACTGGAGAAGAGAAAAGACCAGGAGTGGGAAGGACAGTTATAATAATTCTGGCTTGAGGTGGTTATAATAATAAAATAATTATAGTTATAATAATTCTGGCTTGAGGTGGTGAGGACCTGATTTAATGTTGCACTAGATGTGAGATGAGGGGAATTTGTGAGATGTTTGGTTTTAAATTTATTTTCAGAAAGTAAAAAAAGTAAGATATGCTTAGAGTTAAAAAAATTGAATAGTACATAAAGGTATAAAATGAAAAATAAAAGTCTCCCTTGTCTTTGCCACCCCTAGTCTGGCTTTACAAAGGTAAGCACTCTTAAAGATTTCTTGCATACTTCAAGTAAGTTTTTTTTTTTTTTAAAGGTTTTATTTATTTATTTGACAGAGAGAGACACAGCAAGAGAGGGAACACAAGCAGGGGGAGTGGGAGAGGGAGAAGCAGGCTTCCCACTGAGCAGGGAACCCGATGTGGGGCTCGATCCCAGGACCCCAGGATCATGACCTGAGCCGAAGGCAGACGCTTAACGACTGAGCCACCCAGGCACCCCTCAAGTAAGTTTTAAGCATATAACTGTATATAAATGGTTGACTCTGTTTTTCCTGGTAGTTATGTTCTATAAATTTGTCTCCAACACTGAATTAGTAAATATAGAACCATTGCTCTTAGGGAAACACGGGGTTAGATTCTTGCAAGTCTATGATCATAACATTTTCTTTTCTTTTTTTTTAAGTTGAGGAGTTTATTAGGGAAATATGAGAGGCAAAGACACCCCAAGTGACAAAAAGAAAAATCTGAAAATGTCCCTTCAAGCCAAGTGGGGGCCTGGCCTTGACCTCCCCAAAAGGACAAGAAACTGGTGGGTTAGGAACAACATTCTCTGGTGGCCACCTTGCCAGGGCGTAAGTGTCTCAGCCAGGACTGCTTTCCACCCCCCACCAAAGGTGGAAAGGAGACAAAGACTGTTTATAGAATCAATGCAGAGGCAATGAGAGCTGTAAGGAAAGTCAGAGAGAGAGAAAGAGAGGTGGGGAGGACCTTGACAAAGAGTCCTAGCGTTTGGCTCGGAGCACCTCAAATACACTGACAAACAGTTCTACAAAATGTTACTTAAAAGATAAAATGCCTAATGTTGGTTCCAAGAGCTCCCCTGGACGTCTTCCCACATGCCACATCACACACCGACGTACGTGGCAGAGCCCAAAGGCCACGCTTTTGAAAAAAGAAAAACAAGAATAAGCCCTGTTGCTCTTTAAGGAGAGAGGGAGGAGCTGAGGCTGCTGGGGACTTTCCCGCCTTGGCCTGTATTCCGTAAAGCAACTTCCCAGCAGCAGCGTGGTGTAGTTCTAGGTAAGGGTCTCACCTTTTGTCAGCCGTGCTTCAATGTACTCTATTCTCCGTTCGAGGGCTGTCAATTTCTCGTTTAGTGTTGCAAGTCTTGAATGACAAGACATATCAAATGAGTTGAGAAAGTCCGCGATTTTCTCGATGCTGCTGGTGATGACTTCAGTGTATTCCTGGTTCGCCCAGTCCTGGTGACTCTCCCGCTGCACTGGATCCTCTTGACCCGCCAAGACTGCCACCTGACGAGGAGCCACTGCCTGATCATAACATTTTCAACTGATCAGACATAACTTTGGTTTTGTGTATTTCTGTTTAAAGACACCTTATTTAATATGTATTGTTGATTCATTAACATTGAGCTCATGACCAAGAGCACTGTGACTCATGCCTGAAGGGAGCTTATCTAATGCCTATTTTCTCTCTCGGGCACATTGACGTTTTCTTGAGCTTGGGCACACTATACACCCCTTCAGCACAACAGTTGGGGGCCATTTTAAACAGTGAAATCACCAACAGCACCAAAAAATGTGAAAAACATGACACTACATAGACCATGAGTAGGACACTTGTTTGTAGGATCAGAGCTAAAAAAAGAAGGCAGAGCATTCATTTGTTGGACCTCAGCTGGGAACAAACCTGTCCTGTGACTCAGATTGTTTGCTGCTCTGTATGTGTCTATGGATGACCATGAAAGTGTTAAGAGTATTGATTGGGAGGCTATAAGTAAGTTTTAGCAAGTAGGCAAATTGACAAATATAGAACCCACAAATAATGAGAATGAGCTGTGTTTAGAGAGAGGCCCAGCTTCCAGGCCGTATGACCTGCGCAGTTACACAGAGCTGCATTCAGTATGTATGTATATAAACACACACACTTCAGCAATTCTTGACATCACATTCAGACACTATACCCTCAGTAGCATTGCGGCCAAGCCAAAGGATATTTGTATTTCAAATAATGATCACGATTGCCTTGTTGCTCTCCAAAAAGTTTGTACGGATTTTCACTCCTAGCAAGAATATTTGAGAATGTCTATTTTCTCACAGCTTGCTAACTGTGAATTTCCAAACTTTAAAACATTTGCCAATCTGATCGTTGCAGTTGTTTTAATTTGCATTTATGTAATCATGTGTGAAGTTGAACATGTTTATGTATTAGTCATTTTTCTTTTCCCCTTTTGTGAATTGCCTATTGCTATCCTTTGTTCTAATACTATAGGTTGTTTACCTTTAGTATTTCTTTATATAAATTAAGTAGCTCTTTGCTTGTTATATGAGTTACAAATATATTATCCCTGACTTATGAGTCTTTTGATTTTATTTGCAGCATTATTGGGGGGGTACTTCTTAATCCCCTTCACCTATTTCTCTTGGCAACCACCAGTTTTTCTCTGTATTTATGAGCCTGTTTCTGTTTTATTTTGTTTGTTCATTTGTTTTTTTATTTAATTTTTTAAGATTTTATTTTTAATAATCTCTACACCCAGAGACTTTAATAATCTCTACAACCCTGAGATCAAGAGTCTCATGCTCCACTGACTGAGCCAGCCAGGCGCCCCCATTTGTTTTGTTTTTCAGATTCCACATATAAGTGAAATCATGATATTCATCTTTATCTATGTGACTTCTTTCCTTTTTTTAATTTTAAAAAAGATTTTATTTTATTTTATTTTTTTAAAGATTTTATTTATTTATTTGACAGAGAGAGACACAGCGAGAGTGGAAACACAAGCAGGGGGAGTGGGAGAGAGTCTTCCCGTGGAGCAGGGAGCCCGATGTGGGGCTCGATCCCAGGACCCTGGGATCATGACCTGAGCCGAAGGCAGACGCTTAACGACTGAGCCACCAGGTGCCCTAAAAGATTTTATTTTTAAGTAATCTCTACACCCAACATGGGGCTTGAACTTACAACCCTGAGATCAAGAGTCAGATGCTCTATTGACTAAGCCAGTCAGGTGCCCCTGCTTTTAATTTTTCAATAAACAACTTAAGAATTATTTCAGATTTACCAAAAAGTTGCAAAAATAGTAGGTACCATAAGAGTAAGTGTTCTCATCTACCCTAAACCCAGTTTTTCCTATTATTAACATCTTATATTAGTATGGTAACTTTATCACAATTAATGAGCCAATAGTGCTATGTTATTATTAACTAAATTTCATGCTTTACTCAGATTTCCTTAGTGTTTTAGTCTCATATTCTGTTTCAGTTCCAGGACCCCACCCAGGATACCACTTACTATTTATTCATAATGTCTACTCAGGCTCTTCTTGGCCATGACAGTTGTTTCCTGCTTTCTATCATTGTCATCCCACATCAATTCGTGGCTAATGGGAGCAAAACCCTCTTGGAACCAGCCATGCCCAGGATACAGAATCAGCAAATAGCTGACTCTAGATCCCTATCTCTGCTCTCCCTCCTGCTTCCAACCGCCTTACCCTGAGGCTCTCAGGCATTCCCACCTCCCCGTACATTCACTCCCGTGCCCTGTGCATTCCTCCTTTGCCCTCTGACTTCAACATATTGAAGGTAAGTCTTCCTTTGAAGTAAAAGGCTGCTTTCTAGCCTTCTTTGCCAGAGGCTGGGATCACCCCCACATATTCCCACAAGCTTGCTTTATTTGTTTGTGTGTGTGTTTGTTTATCACCTTGGTTAGGGTAGCTGGCTGGTTTTTTTGGTAGCTAGTTTCTGGTACCATTCCAAGCAAGGAGTCTCTCCTTCAGATCCTGGAGAGACTGAGGACTACCACTAGCAGAGACAGGGAGGTTGAGAAGAAGAGTTGGTGAACCAGGGAAGTTAATGCCCCTGGTTTGTATGTGTCTGAAGTAAAGGTGATGCAGAAGTGCAGAAGTCCTAGAGAAAGCTGGAAATACAGATTTTGTACACTGACAAGAGGTCAGCATTTAAAATGGAGATGTGAGAGTTACCTGCTTTTGAAGGTGGCAGTAGAAGGCATGGGAATGAGGGAGAAGAGCTGAGGGCAGAGGAGAGAGCCTTGTCTACAGTTAGGAGACTGGGAAGGAGGGCCTGTGCTGGAGACAGGTGAGGGGCTGGAGCCCCTGGAGGAAAGAGTGTGGAAGACTAGGAAGCAGAGGAACAAGAGACATCCGGTAGAAGGAACACTGAAAAGAGGTCTTCGGTTTCTGAGCTCAACTATGGAGGAGGGACAAAGGGGACTTGGAACCACTGGGTATAAACTGACACAGGCAATGGCGAATAGAAAGGAAAGAGAGGATAGCAGCTACAAGTGGCGAAAGGAAGGGGATATGGTTCTCCTACACATCTTTGAGGTCAGAAGGAAAGTAACTCAGAGAGTGAACTAGCGAAGATGATAGAGGGGAAAGGGAAATTGGTGAAAGTTGGGTTCTACTTAGGTTCTTGTAGTTGCCCTGCTTCACTAGGATGTAAGCTCACAAAGGCAAGGATTTCTATCTGTTTTGACTTCTGGAATATTCCAGGAGCCTAGAACAGTGCCTGGCACCTGGTAGGTCTTCAATAAACACTGCTGAAGGATTGAGAAGAACGGGAATTATTAAGTCTAGAAACTGGAAGAGAGACTGGCTTTATTTATTTATTTTTATTTTTTATTTTTTTTAAGATTTTATTTATTTGACAGAGAGAGACACAGCGAGAGAGGGAACAGAAGCAGGGGGAGTGGGAGAGGGAGAAGCAGGCTTCCCGCGGAGCAGGGAGCCCAATGCGGGGCTCGATCCCAGGACCCCGGGATCATGACCTGAGCCGAAAGCAGACGCCTAACGACTGAGCCACCCAGGCGCCCCTATTTATTTATTTTTAAAGATTTTATTTATATATTTGACAGAGAGAGAGCCACAAGCGGGGGGAGCTGCAGGCAGAGGGAAAGGGAGAAGCAGGCTCCCTGAGGGGCAGGGAGCCCAATGTGGGACTCAATCCCAGGACCCCAGGATCACAACCCGAGCTGAAGACAGTCGCTTAACCAACTGAGCCACCCAGGCACCCCGAGAGACTGGCTTTAGAATGAAGGATAAATGAACACATGTATCTCTTCCTCTTAGACCATAGGGAAGGTTGAGGAGCTGGGGTAGATACAGAACTCATGCCTGAAGTCCTGGGCTGAAGGACATGGTACCCAATGAAGATGGACTGCAGACTTGTCAAGGAACTAAGGGCAAAAATCTCTTCCTGCTTCCATCCAGGGCAGCCAGGAGCTGGCCTGGGACACCAGCTGGGCTCTTTCCCCAGCCCTTTGCATTCCAGCTCAGTCCTGTGCACAATGAAGAAAGGGAACTGACAGTGCAGTGACATGATTTAGGTTAATGAACCACTGGTCACCTGCCAAGTGGGTGGGAAGTTGTTTTTCTTTCTGCCCACTTTTGTAGAAAAAAAGTTTTTATGAATGATTCATCTCTTCTCATTACCCAGAGTACAAATTTGTGAGCTGATAACAAGAGATTAAAACCCAGGGAGAACATATTCACCCCTACCTCCCCACCTACCCCCAATTTCTGGTGGATGGATATGTTCACTATCTTGATTACAGTGAGGATTTCATGGATGTAAATATAGACGTACACATAGATACCTATACGTATCTCAAAACTATCAAATTGTACGTTTACATTTATGCAGTTTACTGTGTGTCAATTATACCGCAATAAAGCTGTTTAGAAAAAGGAAAACAGGGGCACCTGGGTGGCTCAGCCATTGGGCGTCTGCCTTCGGCTCAGGTCATCATCCCAGGGTCCTGGGATCGAGCCCCGCATCAGGCTCCCTGCTCTGCGGGAAGCCTGCTTCTCCCTCTGCCTCTCCCCCTGCTTATGTTCCCTCTCTCACTGTGTCACTCTCTGTCAAATAAATAAATAAAATCTTTAAGAAAAAAAAAGAAAAAGGAAAACAGGGGGCGCCTGGGTGGCGTAGTCGTTAAGCGTCTGCCTTCGGCTCAGGTCATGATCCCAGGGTCCTGGGATCGAGTCCCACATCGGGCTCCCTGCTCAGCGGGGAGCCTGCTTCTCCCTCTGCCTCTCCCCCTGCTTATGTTCCTTCTCTCACTGTGTCTCTCTCTGTCAAATAAATAAATAAAATCTTTAAAAAAAAAAAGACAAAGGAAAACAGGAATCTCGTATAAAATATATTTTTTATTTTTTTAAAAATTTTATTATGTTATGTTAGTCACCATACAATACATCATTAGTTTTTGATGTGGTGATCCACGACCCATTGTTTGCGTATAACACCCAGTGCTCCATGTAGTACGTGCCCTCCTTAATACCCATCACTGG